ATACAGACAAAAGAAAAAAAGACAACACAAGTTACTGCTCTCAGCAGAGAAACAGGCGATATCGCTGCAGGCGTTAAAAGCATAAGAGGATACCGTGAGCACCACACACAAATTGTGTTACGTTTCTATTTCTTTTATTTGAAAGCAGGACAGGGTGGGAGAGAGCCATCCTCCCTCTGTTGTTTCACTCCCCTAGATGCCTGCACTAGCCAGGGCTGGGACAGGCTGAAGCCAGGAGCCAGGAACTCAGTCCAGGTCTCCCATGTGGATGGCCGGGACCCAGTATCTTGAGCCATCACCTGCTGCTTCCCAGGGTGCCCTTTAGCAGAAAGCTATGTCAGAAACAGAGCTAGGACTGGAACCCCAGCACTCTGATAGGGGATGTGGGAGTCCTGAGTGGTGTCTTAACCATCCCCCCAAACACACACATAAATTTAATGACTTAGGTGAAATGGGAAAAATTCCTCAAAAACCATACATTACCACAATTCACCCAAAATTAAATGAAAGTTTTGAGTGGTCCTTTATTTATTAGGGAAATTGAATTCATAATTTAAAAACTCCCAAAAAGAAATCCCTGGGACTGACAATTTCACTGGAGAATTCTACCCAATGGTTAAGAAACACTAATGCCAGTTCTCTGCCATCTCTTCTAGAAAATAGAAGAAAAAGGAAGTTTTCTAGTTCATTCATGGCACCAATATTACCCCAATACCAAAGCCAGAAAAATACTAAAAAGAACATCCCTTGGGTCTGTTGCTGAAACTATCCTTAGGGAGAGACATATTCATGGATTATATCACTCAGTATAATGGAGAGGAAAAGCAGTTCTCCCAAAATTAATGTACAGCTTTAGCAAAATTCCAGAGACTTTTTTGTAATATAGACAAGGTTATTTTAAAATTTATATGGAAGGGAACTAACGAAAGATTAAAATGGAAGGAATCACTCTCGTCAATATTAAGGCCCATTATATAGTCACAATAATTAAGGCAGTATGTTATTGCTGGAGGGATAGACACATAGGATCAATAGAACAGAATACAAAACCCAGAAACAAACCCACAGAAGCACAGCCAAGTGATACCTGACACAGGGGCAGAGCAGCCCAAGGGAGAAAGGAGACTTTTCAACAGATAGTGCTGGGGCAACTGGACCTCCATAGGTAAAATATGAACCTAAACCTAAACCTCACTCCTTATACAAAAGTGAATCCCAGATTTAAATGTAAAAACTATAAAAGTTTTATAGTTCAGCCAGCACTATGGCATAGCAGGTTAAGCCACTGCTTGTGACACTGGCATCTCATATTGGAGCTCCAATTTGAGTCCCAGCTGCTCCACTTCTGATCCAGCTCCCTGCTAGTGTGCCTGGGGAAGCTGCAGAAGATGGCCACGTACTTGGGCCTCTGCCACCCATATGGGAGACCTAGATGGAGTCCATGACCCCAGCAGTGGTGGCTGTTTGGGGAGTGAATCAGCAGATGGCAAATCTCTCTGTGTATGTCTCACTCTCTCTCTCTCTCTGATGCTCTGCCTTTCAAATAAATCTTTTAAAAATAGTGACAATACCAAATACTTGAGAGGATGTGTAGAAATTGGATCTCGCATACTTTGCTAGTGCGGTTGGAAAATGGCAGAACCATTCTGGAAAATAATTTCGTGGTTTCTTAAACTGTACATGCACTTAACCACACACCCAGCAATTTCACTCTTGGGCATTTATCCCAGAGAAATGGAGAGCTACATCCACACAAAAACCTGCCAAGGGTTATTCACTGCAGCTTTATTTATGATAGCAAGAAAATGGAAACAACCAATACCTTAGTGGTTGAAGCAGCTGGTGCATTCAGACCCTGGATTGCCATTCCAAGGAAACTGTCACTACGTGCCACCACCTGCGTGCACCTCAAGGGCATGATTCTGAGTGGGCACAAATAGCAAAGTTCTGTACTGTCCACTTCCTTTATAAACTTTCTCAAAATGGCAAACATAGAAACAGGGAACCTCTGGGTGCTTGCCAGGGTGCAGGTGTGGTGGGGAGAGCTGGAGAATGTGACTTTGCCGAGTGGCAGGGGAGAGATCAGGGCAGTGCTGGAACAGTTCTGTATCCTGACAGCTGTGGTGGCTGCACAAAGCTACACAAGTGATACAATAACCTAGAGCTATCCACACATATTGTGTGCAGGACAGCTTCCCAGTGTTGATTCTGTGCTGGAGTTAGGTAAGGCATCCTCACTGCAGGAGATCGGTGAGGAGGACGCGGGGCCTCGCTGTGTTGTCTTTGCAATTCTGTGTGCATATCCAATGATTCCAGAACACCAAGTGAAAACCCGTATATGAAATCTCACCCTGGTGAGAGCCTGGGTTACCCAGGGCTGGGTGTGCAGTTCCGGAAGGAGAAAGGAGTGAGCACATCGTTTGGTTCGTAGGGAAGAGGAAAGGGGACCAGAAGAGGTGCAGGAGTCAGCCATGGCTCGCAGACCCTGCTTCCTTCTTGGAGGCACGAAGTGGCAGGCGGGTTGCCAGGACTTGGAATTGAGGGCTTCTAGGAGGAGGGGGACTGGGACAACTTACACTGCAATTCCTGGACCCTGGGAGTCTCCCTCATCTCTCTACCTAGGAGGCAGCCAGCTTCTTGGGACCATGACAGCCAGCAGTGATCTGTGCTGATTCTTGGCAAGTCTGCTCCTTTGACCAATGAGGAGCAGCAGCTTCCCTAGTATCGCCCAGCGACATTGTATTGCATCAGCGTGGAGACACAAACACCCTGGGCTTCTGAGCGCAGATTGTAGGGGTTGGGGGGGCTGGAAAGAGGGTGCGAGGAGATAGTTGAGGGTGTTTGAAATAGTAAAGGTGTCAGACAAGAGCTTTGGAGCCGACGAGTGGGGACTTAGAACACGTGGAGGCATGGGGGCAAGGCTGGCTCTGGCCTTTGGCTTGCCCACTGATGGGATGGGGCCGCCATCCCACTGTCATGGGGGATACTGGTGAGAACTGGAGTTTGGAGGACTGTAAGTTCCGTCTCATCCCGCTCAGCTTAGCATCCCTGGGAGATATCAGGAGAGTTGTTCAGGAGGCCCTGAGTTGCTTGAAGTCTGGCACTCCAGATAGAGGTCTACGTTGGGACCAGGCGAGGACGTGGAAAGAACATCAGATTCCATGGGGCATAAAAAGAATGGCTGCATCTATGGGTCAAAGGCAGGAGAAGGTGCAGTGGTTTACAAAATCCCAGAGCAAATGGTCAAGTTAGAACCAGGCAGAGAAGTGGGGGTAGGGGCAGGTGCTGGCAGCAGGGTACTGAGTCTTGCTTTCACATCAGCAGGCTATAGGGAGAAAACAGAGTGGAAGCCATCCTCCACTAAATGTGCCGTCAATCAATAGTGTGTGGCTCCCAGGTCAGCTCAGCCACTCTCCTGGCCCCAGCACCACCCGGCTCCCCCTCCATAGAAATTCCAGGGCTGTAGCGCCTCTACTCACATCCAGCAGGGAACCGTGATTCAGGGCTGGGCACCCTGGCATGAAAACCCTGTGTTTCATCCAAGTCCACTGTCCCTGGAGCCCAAGCCGGCCTTTGCAGGTCCATTTGCATGCAATTTGTATTGCTCTGCAAACCCTGGCTTCCCCATTAAAGGGCAAGTGCCTCTCGTTCCTGTGTCTTCCTCATGCCTTCACTCGTGCCCTTAAGAAACATGGGATTTGGTGATGAAAAAGAAGAGGGCCCCCTAAGTTTCTATATTTATTCAAAATCCTCTTATAGAGGGTTGAAAATTCTTTTATGGAAGCACAGGCTGAGGTGGAGCATGGAAGATACATCTTACTGGCTGGCGCCGCAGCTCACTAGGCTAATCTTCCATCTTGCGGCGCCGGCACACTGGGTTCTAGTCCCGGTCGGGGCGCCGGATTCTGTCCCGGTTGCCCCTCTTCCAGGCCAGCTCTCTGCTGTGGCCAGGGAGTACAGTGGAGGATGGCCCAAGACCTTGGGCCCTGCACCTTCATGGGAGACCAGGAGAAGCACCTGGCTCCTGCCATTGGATCAGCACGGTGCGCCAGCCACAGCGCGCCAGCCTGTCAAAAAAAAAAAAAAAAAAGATACATCTTACTATCCTGCCTGCATCCCCTAGCACGGTCTGTGGAGATGGCGGGTATGGGCGGGGGTCACCTCCTGGCTCTCTCGGGCTCCCCGACTGGAGGCTGGACTAGTTGAGTAGGGAGAGAAGGAGCGAGGCTGAGGACTCCATGCTCAGGCTAGCATCCAGCTCCCTGGGGAGGGGCCCACTCATCAAAACCTCCTGTGGTGCAGCTGATAAAGAAGCATAGGGCCCAGTAACAAAGACCCCTTGCAGGTGGTGAGTCCTGCTCCCTGACCCGCAAGGCAGGAGAGGCCTCAGGGGACCACACTTTGGAGACGGCCATGGTCCTGGGTTTGCGGCACAGAAGAGACCCCTCACGTGCTCCCCGCCCTGCCAGGGAGACTGCAGGACAAAGATAGGGCACACGCACTGGGGTTCAGAGATGCCTTCCCATCAGAGTGCTTCTACATCCTCTCAACCGCTGCCTGGGGCCTGGACCCTCGTGGCAGGGCATATAAAAACAGAGACCAAGTGGCTCCTGCAGGGATCTTGCCATCAAGGGAGGTGCCGCCCATTAGGTCTGGTTAACCTGCACTACGTGCCAGGGCCAGCACCTGGGGCAACGTTAAGTTCACTCAGGAGCAAATGCGCTCCAGGCTGCCCACAGCTCCTCGGCACAGCCTCGTGCTCAGCACTACACTCGGCTGTGGTCACCGCTGCTGTTCCTGCTCCCCCGGCACCAAACCCCTCCACAGATGCCCCCAGGAGTACTCACGACCCACTGCACTAGAATCACAGAGGTCTACGGGTGTGTGTGTGTGTGTGGCTTTGTGCAGAATGGAGAAGGCCTGGCTGTGTTCACCCTGTGATCATGAGCCCCCAAGATGCCCCCCCCCCCGCTCCCCTCCTAGTCTTCACAACCTTGCAGGGTCCCCTCCAACACTGGATAGAGATGGCCTACGATGGAATCAGGAGGGTGTTACAGGAATGTCAGAGTGAGGCTTCCAAGGCTCTCCCTGATCTCCTGGATCACTTGCCCTGGGGGAAGCCAGCTGCCGTCTCCCAAGGACACCGGGCAGCCCTTGGGACAGGTCCACGTGGAGAGGAAGTGAAGCCTCCCGCCGGCAGTCAGCACTGCCTTGTCACACACGGGTGCCAGGCGTGTGTGCCTGAGCCACCCTGGAAACGGACCTTCCAACTCCGTCAAACCTTCCAGTGAGCAGCCACACCCTGACTTGGTGAAAAATCTCCAGGCAGAAGCACCCGGCTCCCCTGCTCCTGCGTTCCCAACCTCCGGAGCCTGCGAGGAGAGTAAATGTTCACTGCTGTTGTAAGCTGCCGAGTTGGGGGACAATTTTTTACTTAGCAGTAGCACTCTAATAGAAGATGTCTGCATCTAGGAGCAGAGCAGCCAGGTCACACGGTGAGTATTATGTTTACATAAAAAACTTCAAAAAATTTTCCAAAGTGGTTGTACCATTTTACACTCCTATCTACACCATCTGCTCCAGTTGTTTATGTTGTGTGTGTGTGTTTCTGAAACTCATCTCACCAGGCACGTGACACTGCCTCTGGTGATAGACCCTAGTTGTAGCAAGCCGCCATCCCTTCCTGCCTGACTTCCCTCCTTCATGAATAACCAGTGGGTCACAGCCAGAATTGGGCTGAGTGTCTGGTCCTTCCCTAGGTTGGGGAGCTACCTCCCAACTGATCCTGCAAATGGCCTTGGATGTCATCCTGCACTTGGAGTTGACAAGGCCAAGTTTTCCCATATGTGCCCAGAGCTCCTCCAGGCCCAGCAGCCCACAGGACACAAATGAAGTGGCAGCAACAGGAAAAACACACACTGAGTGGGCTTTTGCCTCCTCCACAGACGACAGGTGCTCCAGGGCCTCTCGCCGTGACCCAGACATTTCTGCAAGTCCCTGATTGTCTCTCCTGAGCTTAGCAAAGGTCTCCTTAGGAGCCGCTGGGGGGCAGCACCTTACCACAGCCCCTGCCAGACTATGCTGAAGACCAGCCCAGTGGTCCCCCTTCAGTTTCATCCAGTTGTCTCCCTGGGCCTCCACAAGTTGCCAGCCCCAGACCACAGGTCATTACAGGTCTGCATAGTGTGCAGAGATGGGGGAGGGGCCCTTGTAGTAGATTCCATCAGTGCCCTCCCCAGATGCCCTTTCCTGGATTGAGGCACCCACCCACCAACTCTCCAAACGCGGGCCCCTTGGCCTGAGACATGCCCTGGGCTGATGGGTGACCCCTGGCAAGTTACACTCTCCACCCTCTTCCCAGCAATGGCCTGACCTAGTGGTTCAAACCCTGTCCTACTTATCACAAAGAGGAACGGCTCTGTATCCCTTTCACAGCCCAGAGACTGAACCCATGAGACTAAACCTGGAACTGAAATCGGAAAAGACCCTCTAAAATCTACACTAAAATGTGGCCCGTTAAAGTTCCCTAGAAATGCTGTCCGGGGTGTCACATGTGCTACCGGAATTTGGGGTGCCTTATGATTTCACCACGGGCTTATTACTAAATCCCCGATATTAATAAGCCCAAGAGGGTTCTTGCCTAATATTTAGAGAAGAATTTTAAATACCCTCACAGATAAATGAGGCAGCATGGTACGTTTTAAGCTTTTATTTAGTGAGAAAGATGCATAGGAGAAGAGAGAGAAGTGAGTTGGGGTTCATACTGAGCACCAGGAACCGGCCACATGGAAGAGCATCTGGGCCAGGAAGCCTAGAGCACATGGCCCAAAGGCCATGCGCCCTGGAGGCGCAGGGCTACAGCAAGCCGCCTTCCTAGCAAGAGGCCAGGGAAAAAGAGCAGGGCCCGGGCACACTGTGCCCTAGGCTTTTAACCCACTTCCAAAGGGGAGTGGTCAATGAACCTGATTGGCTGGTGGGCACCCAGGTGTGGCCAGGTAGGGGGATGAGGACACACAGGGGCGTGGCGAAGGCATGGTCTTCCAGCTCACAAATCTAATCAATTTTAACCTATATGCCTGCCCACTTCAGAACCACATCTGAACCTCTGCCCAAACCCCAACTCAGCCTTGTACTCTAGCAAAGAAAACTTACCTTTTTTCTCCTTTGTGTCCAGAACCCTGGCACAACCTTGCTTCAGCCCCAGAACGCCACAAGGACCCCCAACACACTCCATTAAGTCAGCTCACTCTTCTGCCTGTTAGCCCCTGCAAGCCCCAAGGAGCAGGGTTGCCCCACATCTTTCCCCACCCACCCCTCATCCCCTCGGCTGTCCCCCAGGGGCCACCCACCAGCTGCCACATGAACCCTTCCTCATGGAAAGCTGCATTCCTGCCAGATCCCACCCCAGGGCCCCCGCTATGTTGTTTTGACCTTCCAAACAATCCTGTTCCTGCAGTATTATTAACTCACTCTCTTTTTTTTTTCCTAGTGAGGAAGCCAGAAGCAATTTATGGCAAAGTTAATGAAGCTTAAGCTCACTCGCATGGGCCCCTTCCAAAGCCCTGCGATTTTGTAATCACGGTTTTGATTCCTCTGCTTACAAGGCTCCCAAATCACATCAGCTTCAGGCCCCCAAAAACCCGACTGTGCCGCTGGAGAAACTGAGGCCCTGAACTGTGAAGTGACCTGGCCCAGGACACACACCTGGTGAGCAACAGAGGCAGAACTTGACCCGGGTTTGCTTCTCTGCAGGTTCTTTTCCTGTTCCCTACCCTAAAATCTAACCCTGAAACTTCCCCAGGCCCACTGAGTGGTCTCCAGGGCCCAGCCCCTGGCTTCCCTCACCCCCAGCATGCAGCTCTCCTGGTTGCCAGCTGCCAGCCCCTCCCTCTGCCCTGGCATGTTATTGTGGGAGTTTGCCAGGCCAGAAAATGCTTGGGCAGAGCTATTTTTAAAGCTCAAGGTGGAGGAGTGTCTCCCCGCATGCCACCAACGGATGCAGACACCCACAGAGCCTTCCTGAGGCCTGAAATAGCCTTCTCTCTGCCTTTGCCCTTGCCATCAGCGAAGGTCGACTCATCAGCCACCAGGCTGTCCTGGGGGCCATGCGTACGTGGACTGTCAGTTTCTGCTGTGTAACAAACTACTGTTTCCTTAGCTCACAGTTCTTCAGCTCAGCAAGTTGGACTGGGCCCTGCTGGGCAGTTTGGTGTCGGCTGGGCTCCCTTTTGCATATGGCTGGCACTGGAGTCAGCTGGCCTGTCTCTGTCCCACATCGTCACTCATCCCAAGACCGTTCATGTAGTGGCTGGGAAGAACTCCAGAAAGCAAGCAGAATTGAGCAAGGCATCTTAGTGCCTAAGCTCCAGGCTCATAGTATCACTTTCACCACATTCTATGGCCCAAAGCAAGTGACAGGCCAACCATGGTCACTAACTTTCTGTGTCAGCTTAGTTGGCCCATAATGCCAAGGTACGTGGTCAAACATTATTCTGAATATTTCTGTGCAGTTTTTTTTTTTTTTTTAATGTGATTAACATTGAAATCGATGGGCTTTGGGTAAAGACCTGCACAAAACAAAGGCTGATCTGTCCCCAGCAAGTGGGCCTTCTCCAGCAGACTGTTTGCAGATAGAAACCACAACTCCTCTTTGGTCTCTAGGCTGTCGGCCTAGTCTGCAAATTTGGGATTTACCAAATCTCCACAATTGTGTGAGCCAATTCCTTAAAATAGATCTGTCTATATATACACACATTCTGTTGGTTCTGCCTCTCCAGAGAACCCTGACTAATCCACCAGCCCAGATTCAAGGGCTGGAGAGCAGATTCCATCCTCTGATGAAAGCACCCACAAAGGCACAGCTGTGAAAGGGCCAGGACCCAAGGAAGGAAGCAACTGCAACAGCCACCTTTGCTAATGCTCACAACAGGTGGGTTTGGGAGTCGGGTGGGCGTGGTGTGACAGCCCCCAGGGTTCTGCTGGGCCAATCAGATAGAGCTTCTGGTTGCCCCCACTCACTGCTGGTTATCAAAGACTTCAGGCACAAAACTTGGCAGGCTCCCCTGAGCAAGGCGGGACTCGCCAGCTGGATTCGGGACTGTGTCCCCCACCTCAGACTAGGGGCTCCTGGAGAACTGTGCTGTCTTCCACCATCCACCTCAGCACTCAGTGGGGCATGGAGAAAGCTGTGCTCCCCAGCAGGGGACCCAGCAGGTCCTGGGGCCTACTGAGCCCTGTACGTGATCCTGCAGGGTACCCCTGAGTGGTTGGCTGATGCTTCACTCCGAACACACACCGCCTTCGGTACTGGGCGGGCACCATCTGCTCCCAGCTCCACACAGGGTCCCGGGTCCTGCCCAGCCCACCACGTGGTCCTCCTAGTGCCTCCCATGCTGCCTCTGTCCCATTCTGTCTACTTCTGCTCAGCACACGCTTGCCCAGCCACCACCCAGCTCCCAGCTGTTTCCTGCGTCCCCTCATCCCCGGCTCTGCGTGCCCCACAGAGGCACTTGGTGAGGAAGTCAGGCTTTGCCACAGGTGTGTGTCCTGCAGGACCTCCCCTGCCCCATAGGTGGCTCTGGAATCTAGGCGGCGAGAGCAAGTGGGGAGTGGCTCATCAGGGGAGGGAATTCAGCAGGTGGGCAGGTGAGTAGCTGGGGCAACCAGAGCCAGCCTTCGACACCAAGGGCAGGTCCTCTCATGCCCTTGACAGCAGGCTAGAAACCAGTGGGAGACACCACTGGACCCCCAGTTCCATGCTCCAATCTCCCATTTGTGACGCACCTGCTGTACAACTTGGGGCCGTGGCTGCTCAGTATTGCCCTCTCGGGAACAGAGATGATAACCATCTGCCGCGGATGCCATAGGCACCATGCCCATCTCCTTGGGGCCTTCACACTTCAAGGAGCTCCAGCTGCCTTCCACTGCGAAGCTGCTTGCCCGTGCCTGAGTGCTCTCGCTCCCCAACTGCAGAATACCAGGGGCAGGCTGGAGGTGCCAGCGAATGTACACCCTTGGAGGAGCCCACCATCCGTAGCTCAGAGGAGTTGCTATAAACACCCCAGCTCCCTCCCCCTGCAGGCAGGAGAACTCCGGAGCACATATTTTTTCTGACCCCCCAGGGCTTCTCTGCAGGACTCAGCCCCAGTTGCCCTCAGTGGTACCTGGCTCGATAATGCACCTTGTGTGGGGGCTGCTTTCCCTCCCTCACCTCACCGAACCATCCGCGTCCAGATCTTTGTCTTAGGGTCTGCTTCTAGGGGAACTCAACCTAAGACACCGTCCCAGCCCTGTCTGACCCAGTGGTCAAGATGAAGGCAGGGGTTTCCAGCAGGTGTCTGAACCCTCATCTCTACTCTGGACCCAACCCTCACAGGAGGGTGATCGGACGATGCTGGCAGGACTACAGTGAGGACAGGAGTGGCTCCGTACCCAAATCCTGGAATGAACCGCCGGGGAGCCACCACCATCTGGGCAGCAAGCGGCAGCACAGCCTGCCCCCCCCATTCTACCTGAAGGCAGGACTGGGCAGGGGCGGCACAGCCTGGTCCCCCCCGCCCCCCATTCTACCTGAAGGCCGGACTGGGCAGGGGAAGGAGGGCTGCAGGGCAGCTCGCTATCCAGGAGGACAGGACTTCCCTGTGGCTCCCTAAAGTGAGGGAGAAAGGGCTTCCGAGCCACCGTTCAGGGCGGCAGTTTACGAGTCCCCACAGGCCTGGCTGTTCCGACGGACACTCCATGGCCTGTCCTGCATCTCTAAGTTGCCTCCTTCTCTCCATCACGATGACAGTCACCAATTGTCACCAGCTCCCGCCTGGCATTTTGGAACCTCCCTCCCAGGCTCTGTCTCCTCTCTCAGCCTCTGGTCTGCTCCATCCCAACACTCTAAAGTGGATCTCGCAAACCAAGTTGGCAGGCACCAGCCTGTGGTCCACATGCTGCCTGTGGTCTATTTTTGTGTGGCCTGTAAGCTTAGAATGGTTTTTCCATTTTCTTCTTAAACAAAACAAAGAAAACTATGTGACAGAGATGCTTGCCAACCCCTGCCCTCAAGCTTAAAGGAGTGGTCTGCCTGGCAGCCTCATTGCCACCCCTCACCCGACACACCCTCAGGTTGCTTTCTGTGCCTGAAACACCCACCCTCACTCCCTGGTATGCCTGGTCACCGACCCACACTTCAGAACTCACTGAGTGTCCCGTTGGCTGGGCCTAGGCCTGCTGGCTCCAGATCACGGCTTGGCTCCCTATGCTCTTCCTGAAGGCTGAAAACCCAGCAAGACTGGATCGCGGCTGGGCTTCACCTACGGTGGGAGGTGGAAGGGCAGGAAGAAGGAAGATGGCAGGGTCTTTCTTCCCAGGGTCTCGGGCCCCATGGGGTTTTCATTACTCAGAACACCCAGTAGATGTGCCCACCATGGCCCCAGCTCCTACTGGGTGACCTGAGACCCTGAACTTGCCCTTCCCACTCCTCCCTCAGGCAGCCGGGGCTTCCTGGGGCTGCTGATCTCTGAGTTGCCCCTGACTGGCTTCTCGGCTCGTCCACCTGTGTAACCAGTCGCCTGCATTTCATTACCTCTGTTTAAACACTGGTTTGGAAGGCAGGTGTTGTTTTGAGTAGCCTTCAAGATGCCACTTGGGACACTTCTGTCCCTTATCAGACTACCTGAGTTTGTGTCCTGGCTCTGCTCTCAATTCCAGCTTCCTGCTAATGTACTCCATGGGAGGCAGCAGGTGATGGCTCAAGGCCTTGGGTCCCTGCCACTCACCTGGGAGACCCAGATACTGAATGCCTGCGTCCTGGCCCAGCCCTGGCTGTTGTATTTGACTAGTGAACCAACAGAGGGGATCTCTCTCCCTCTCCTTCTCCTCTCTCATTCTCTCCCTCTCAAATTCATGGTAAATAAACAAATAACAATGTAAGCACTGATGTTTGTTTTCTAGGTAGGACAGCTGACTAGTACACCATTCTTTCAGGCATCCACTAACCCCTAGAGCAGCTCACTCATTGCTTCCATAAGCCTGTGGGTGCCTACGGTGCCCTAAGCCAAGAGTCAGCAAACCATGGGCCAAATCCAGGCCACTGTGTACTTTGTAAAGAAAGCATTACTGGAACACAGCCACACCCATATTTACATATTGCCTAGGACTACTTTCACAGGTGGAGTTGAATAGCTGTAACAGAGACCCACCTGCAGCCCACAAAGACGAAACTATTCACTCTGGTTCCTTTCAGGAAACATTTGCCAACCCTTGTTCTAGGTAGGCTTTTGCTACCTGAAATGTAGACCCGGAACACCTGGGAGCTCATTAGAACTGCAGAATATTAGAGGCTACCCAGGCCCACCAAATCAGAACCTGCAGGTGGACAAGGCCCTCAGCTGAAGTGTGTGCACACTGAGGTGTGAGCTTGCTGTCTTGAGAAGTCATATGCTTATCACCACATTCACCTGATCATCAGTCTTTATTAGCACATTGGTCTTAGTTGGATCCCCAGCACCTGGTCAGTTGGCCCAGAAAGGATAAATGCAGTGATTCTCTGGCTCATAAATTATTGGGCGCTGAAGGAAGAGTTTCAAAGAGAGCTGTTCCCATTTTTGACATACAGGTTGGCAAAGATCAGGAAGTCTCTGAGCACAGGTGTTGGGACGTAAAGGAAATAGCTCTCACATGGTTTGGACCACCTCTTTGGGGAGATCAATTTGAGAAAATGTTCATGGAAAAATGGAATTAAATGATAAATTTATATGGGTGCAAAAACATTTTTCGGAAATCCATGCATTGTTTTTACATAATGCATATTTTTCATGAACTTTTGGAAGGCCCTTCATAGTCATCAAAACTACAAATGCACAAACCCTGTGACCCTCATCCTCGGGACAGACTTAGGACTGAGAGCAAGGATAGGCTACCAAGGGATTTACTGCACAAAAACCAAAGTTGTCTGCAACCAAGTTGCCTACAATCAAGTGGCCATCAACTAGAAATTTGCTCAGCAAATTATGATATATAATGAAACTATACAACTTTTAAAAAGAAAGACAGGGGCCAGCGCTGTGGCTTAGCAGGTAAAGCCACCACTTATAGTGCCAGTATCCCATATGGGCGCCAGTTCGAGACCTGGCTGCTCCACTTCTGATCAAGCTCTCTGGTATGGCCTGGGAAAGCAGTGAAGGATGGCCCAAATCCTTGAGCCCCTGCACCGACGCGGAAGACCCAGAGGAAGATCCTGGTTCCTGGCTTCAGATCGACGAAGCTCCAGCCTCTGTGGCCAACTGGGGAGTGAACCAGCAGATGGAAGACCTCTCTCTCTCTCTCTCCCCTCTCTCTCTCTACCTCTCCTCTCTCTGTGTAACTCTGACTTTCAGATAAATAAGTCTTTTTAAAAATTAAAAAATAAAAAGAAAGGAGTTAGAGAATCTCCAAGATATATTATGTGTAAAGTGAAAAAAAGTAAGACGTAGAACACCCCATAGGAGACAGAGGAAAAAGAGGAGGAGGTGATAGAGATTTTCTTGCATTCTCATAAAACATCTCTTAAAGGATGTGCCCAGACTCCACCACCACTGGCCCCTAGAAGAGGTTATTGGATTGCTGGGTGCAGGGATAAGAAAAGACCTTTCACTGCCTACCTTTATATACTTTTTGTTTCTGTACTTTGGCTGCAAGTTTATTCGACACAAAGTATTTCCCTCTAACTGTATTGAGATGTTGGCAAAATCTCTGTCACATAGTTTCTTTGTTTTGTGGCTGACCACACCCATGAACAAATCTGCCCTGAAACTGTAATTTGATTGCTGGCCCAGCCCTGACTTTCTTGTGCCACCTTGGGCCAGGGGCCAGGGAGGTGGGGGACACGACGGTGCTGAGACCATAGGTCTCGTCAGTGTCTCCGTGAGCTTCCCCTCTTGTGAGCCTTGCCCACTCACACTGCAGACCTGTGGGCTGAGGTCTGCTGGTCTCAGGACACAGCTTGGGATCCTGGCAGGCAGAGTCTCTGGAGCAGGTGGAGGTCATTGCCAGACACCCTCGTTGGTAAGATACCTGTACAACACCTCCGGGCAAACTGCTCCCTCATGCTGCCTTGGGACTTGAGAGACTGCATGGACTTCAGTTGTGTGGTTGTTGTTTGCTTAGGCACGTGGGCATCCCTCCTGGCTACCGTCATTCCCACCTTAAAAAAGAGGTCATAAATGGCAGTGCAATCCTTTTGGGGCACATCAGCCTGGCATGGTCAGGACTGGATAGGAAGGGGCATCTTGTCGCTCCCCCTCTTCGTGGAGGAACGACACAGGACCCTGCGCTGTTCTTTTTGTCTGCTCGGCCCTCCCCGGGTTTGCTGCTGGTTCTTCCCGGGTTGGCTACTATCCCTTCCACCTCTGTGGAAGGGCAGTTCCCCCTGGCCGCATTCCCCACTTCCGCAGGGGAACGGCACACCGCCGGCCGGCTTTCTCGGGGGGCTGCACAGGTGTTCCCTCAGATGTTCCCCTTAGATGTTCCTGGTGCATGCCGTCTCTCTCCTCCTTTATAGTCCTCCTCCGCCAATCCTAACTCGGCTGCCCACACGCCGAGTACGCTGCTCTCCTCCAATCAGGAGTAGGTCCTACAGTTTATTGGTTGAACTGGAGGCAGCTGCGTAGAAGCTGTTTTCTCCTCTCCCAGCGCCATATTGTGGGAGAGCAGATGCATAGAATAAGTCTTAATTCCAGTAACAATATAGTCCGAGTTGCTCCCCACAGTGGGAGAGCAGATGCATAGAATAAGTCTTAATTCCAGTAACAGTATAGTCCGAGTTGCTCCCCACAGCATCTCCACGGCATCTCTTCCCTAGTACTTTTTGAAATAAAACAACAGGCTGGGCATTTAGTCTAACAGTTAAGACACCCATGGCCCACACCTGGGCGCCTGGATTCAATACACGAGGCTCCACTCCTGACTCCAGCTTCCTGCTAATGCAGACCCTGGGAGACATCAGGTGATGGCTCAAGTGATTGGGTTCCTGGAGGTCCCTCACTTGGGAGGCCTGGATTATGTTCCCAGCTCCTGGCTTTGGCTTGGCCCAGCCTCAGCTGTTGCGGGTTTTTGAATAGTGAACCAGGAGATTCTCTCTCTCTCTCTCTCTCTCTCTCTCACATAATAAGAACAAGCCAACCATAAAAGCAGGAAAAGTCTCAGGAGCGTATACACGCAGCATAGCATAGAAAAGTGAGGCCGTAGTTTAGATGTCAGTCTGGAGTTTCCCCACTTGGAATGTGGTCCCCAGGCCAGCAGCATCAGCATCCCCGGAGAACCAGTGAGCAACTCGAAGTCCCAGGCCCCATCCCCAAAGCATGCAGTGGGAATCTGCAGTTTAACCAGAGCCCCAGGGAATTCGCTCTCACAGCACGGTTTGAGACGCTCTGGTCCAGCCGCTCGGAGAACTCACTCATTACAGCACCACCTGGTTCCCATGGTCTGTTACTAATAAAACAGCTGTCTGTTCCCCCCAACTGGGGCTCCATCCCAGTGAGACACCAGGGCCCAGGCTGTTCCCATTAAGGGGGAGGTTTTCCGCAGCTCCGCCCAGGCCCTGGCTGGCCCCATGCCCAGTGTCCTGGCGGGTTCCCAGCTGAGAAGACAGCTCACTTCCTCCTGCTGAACTGCTCCCCGCTCCCCGAGATGTAAACTCTTTCCAGCACGAACAAAGATGCATCTGTCTGGCTCAGGTTTTTTCCTACCGAGTGTTTATTTATCCATCCACCCTGGGCCTCCGAGGACCCGGCCCCTGACCTGGTGGTGGAAGGAGCCAGGGAGGGGTAGCCGAAGGAGGGAGGACAAGAAGCCAGGAGCTTGGCCGCTGCTCTGCCTTCTCCATGCTTCTGGAAAAGTTCCCGGCCACATCTGGATGCAGTGACGCGGCTGGACTCCAGAGCAGCAGGGAGGAGGGGGGTGGGCGGAGCGGGGAGCTGTGCTGACGCTGGCCCAGACCACCCAGGAGTCTGCAGCGTGGAGACCACTGCCCTCCCACGGGCTGCCAACTCTCTGATCCCAGAGTCAGAGCACAGAGCCAGCCCCACTGAGAACCGCACACTGCCACTGTCCTGAGCCCACCCCACCCCAAGCTGCAGGGACTCTGTAGGAGCCCAGCGCTGTGTCTGTCTCTTTCTTGAACCTTCTACTCCCCTCGCTTCCTAACGGCAGCCATTCCCCCAAACAGACCTCCTCTTTTCCCTCCCCACTCCCTTCTAGATCCTCCTCTGTGTGGCTAATCTCTCAAATAAAAAGCACAACATGTCCATAAAACCACTAATAAGGGCACAGCCCAGAAATGTTGCCAGCCGGAGCCTCAGCTCTTCCCTCACAGCTCTGCAAGGTTAGCATTCCTCCCCTGCTCCACAGAGGGGACCAGCAAGCCTGGGAGATGTTAAAGGACAAAGTAACCCAGGCCTCTGGGGTCAAATGCTCACCTGAGCTGCCTCCAGCCCAGGTCCCAGGACCTCTCCGTGCAGGCTCAGAATCAGACAGCGTTCTCCCATTAGCCACCTGCTGACATCCCTAGCTCTGTGAAGGGCTGGACCCCTTGCCTCAGCCACTAGGCCCCAAATTTAGAACCTTGTTTCTGCATCATGCCCTCTCCTCGCTGTCACCCTAGGTCTGCCCAGTGGCAGAGGTGAGCAGATGCTCCGTCCCCACTTCCTAATCACTCTGGTGATTGCCTCCCAGCCAGTCCAGTCCACTTGTCCCTGGGGCTCTTTTCCTACTATCTCCTGGTCCATCCACTACCCACAAACCCTCATGAGATATGAGTGGCATAAGAGGCCACAAGCATTCCCTGTCCTGAATCCTCACCCTTTGCAATGCGACAGGGAATCACTTCCATCAAGAGGTAGCGTCTGTTTGCTTGGGCTGGCCTCAGGAACATGGAAGTGACAACTGCCCGTTCAGAGTGTAGGCTTCAGGCAGCCGTATGCATTTCCACTTCTCTGGGAAATCTGTCCAGCTACCATGTAAGTAGGTCCTGGCTCGCTTTTAGCAGAATGGGAAAACGTGTGGCCCAGGGACCCTCCCCTCAACTCCAAGGGCCCAGCCAACAGCCAACCAAATACCAACCCCGTGGTGACGCCATCCTGAATTGGCTGGCACCAGGCCAGCCTGTCAGCTGACCCACACACACGGGAGGACTACCGTGCCAGCAGAGCCAGCTCAGGCCAGAGGAGTCACCCAGCAGACCCCAGCCCGCTGAGAAATAATTAACGACTCGGGTGTTGAGTCACTCAACTTGGGGAGGGTTTGTTACATAGCAAAGGCAAATTGATCCCCTCCACTTGTCCTCTGCGCAGCTCCCAGGTACTCCGCAGGTCAAATCCCTCCTTCCAGGTGCACAAGCCTTGCTAGTGAAGTTGACACCGCACTCTCTTCTCACCAATTTCTCCAAAGCCCGGGCTCCAAAGTATCCTCTGATAAATCTTGCTCTTTCTTTCTTCCAAGCTTTGCTTCCACAGACTTTCCTCCCACCCCAAATGCCATCTCACCTTCCTTTGATCATCACGCAAAATTATGTCCCTTCCCTAATCCCCGTCTCTGAGTCTGCCCCGCTCTGAAGCCACCCATCAGAGCGGTTCTCATTCCAACTCCTTGTGCCCAACCCCAGGTCCTTCATTTCTCCAGGTATGGAATTCAACCCGGTCCTCACAGAATCCCTGTGAAGAGGAGGCACACACTCCCCATGTGAAAAGATGAGTGTGTTAGACTCTTTGCAAACCACTTCGAAACACCCTTGCTGGAGCCGGGTTCAGCATGGTAGTCAAGCTGTCCACATTCCACACGGGAGGGACAGGCTGTGTGTCTCCGCTCCAGCGCCTGACTCCAGCTTCTCAGCAAGGCAGAGCTGGGGAAGACTCGATGATGGCTCAAGTGCTTAGGGCCCTGCCACCCACGTGAGAGACGTGATTTGAATTCCTGGTTCCTGGTTCCAGCCTCAGCTGTTGCAGGCATTTGGGGAGTAAACCAGTGAACCAGAGGATAGCACTTCCTTCCTTCCTTCCTTCCTTCCTTCCTTCCTTCCTTCCTTCCTTCCTTCCTTTCTTTCTTCCTCTTTCTTTCTTTCTTTCTTTCTTTCTTTCTTTCTTTCTTTCTTTCTTCCTTCCTTCCTTCCTTCCTTCCTTCCTTCCTTCTTTTCTTTTCTTTTCTTTTCTTTTCTTTTCTTTTCTTTTCTTTTCTTTTCTTTTCTTTTCTTTTCTTTTCTTTCTGACAGGCAGAGTTAGTGAAAGACAGAGAGAAAGGTTTTCCTTCCATTGGTTCACCCCCTAAATGGCTCCCATGGTCGTCATGCTGCACTGATCCGAAGCCAGGAGCCAGGTGCCTCCTCCTGGTTTCCCATGCGGGTGCAGGGCCCAAGCACTCGGGCCATCCTCCACTGCCTTCCCGGGCCACAGCAGAGAGCTGGACTGGAAGAGGAGCAACTGGGACAGAATCCGGCACCCCAACCGGGACTAGAACCCGGGTGATGGCGCTGCAGGTGGAGGATTAGCCAAGTGAGCCACGGCGCTGGCCAAGATAGCAGTTTCTCTCTCTCTCTCTCTCTCTCTCTCTCTCTCATCAAGCCCCACACACCCGCAGCAGTGCTCCCTGTTGGTGACACTTCTGGTACTGGCTTCCCCTCCTTCCTTGTTGCAGGGCCCTGGTCCCTCCCTCGTGCTCCCCAAGGGCCCATTCCCAAACTACAGACTCCCAAGCCTCTGTCTCAGGTTCTGCTTGGAGGAACCCAGGTGAAAACGAGGTGGAATAAAGGTCAGAGGAGTTAAGTCCCTGTTGAAGATCACACAGCTCGGATATTTTCTGATTGAAACCTACAGAAAAGGTGAGAGCCTGAACTCCACAAAGGTCACGTGCCCTGTGGGATTCATCACTAAAATGCAGTTACGTGAGCAGACAGAGAAGACTATCACACCAGCCGGCGCCGCCGCTCACTAGGCTAATCCTCTGCCTGTGGCGCCGGCACACCAGGTTCTAGTCCCGGTCGGGGCACCGGATTCTGTCCCGGTTGCTCCTCTTCCAGGCCAGCTCTCTGCTGTGACCTGGGAGTGCAGTGGAGGATGGCCCAAGTGCTTGGGCCCTGCACCCGCATGGGAGACCAGGAGAAGCACCTGTCTCCTGGCTTTGGATCAGCGTGGTGTGCCAGCCGCAGCGGCCATTGGGGGGTGAACCAATGGAAAAGGTAAGACCTTTCTCTCTGTCTCTCTCTCTCTCTCACTGTCTACTCTGCCTGTCAAAAAAAAAAAAAAAAAAAAAAGACTATCACACCGTACCAGACTTGAGCTGTGTGATCAAGTAATAAACATGTTCAACACTGCTTGCCTGATCGATTCACGTCTCTCTCAACACAGCTCTGGGGACGCAAACACGTGGGTAGGAATATGTGTCAGAAGACTTGTATTTAATTTTTAATTATCCAAATGATACTAGAACACATTTTTCATGTAAAAATTTGAAGCATTACAAAGAAAGTTAGGTTCCCTTTGACTTTCTCCCTCTGATCTCCAGTTCCTCACCAGAGGCAACACGTGGCTGTTTTACATGCCTGTGTTTATATGCTCTAGATATAGTCTAAATCATACTTCATTTTCTTTGTTTAAATTTTAATTTATTTGGCAGGGAGACAGATGGGCTTTCCTCTGCTGGTTCACTCCCCAGATGCCTGCAATAGCTGGGGCTGGGCCAGGGCCAAAGCCAGAGGCCGGAACGCAGTCTGGCTCTTCCACATGGGTGGCAGGGACCCTAACTACTTGAACCATCATTGCTGCCTCCCAGGGTCTGCTTTTGTGGGAGGCTGGAATTGGGAGTCAGAGCCTAGAATCTAAAGCACGCACTGCAATGTGGGACTCGGGCATCTTACTGCTGGACCAAACACCCACCCCTGCAACATGCCCTTTTTTTTTTTTTTTCCATTTGCCGCTGTGTTTTGGAGCTCTTGTTTTTTTCCCACAGGTAGTATTTTGGAGTACGGACAAACCATGGTGAGTCATTTCCCTACGAGTGGACACATAGACTGTCACTAGCCTTCACCACTGCCAGAATCGACGCAGCGATGCAGCCACACTTGAAAGCTTAGATGATTGCCGTCCCCACTCTGACTTATTTGTCCACCCTCCTCCCTGCCCTGGCACAGTTACCTTTGAACGAGCTGGTCGGTTACAACTCTGTAAATCAGGAGTCAGGAACGCAACACGACAAGGCGCAAGGACCTGAGTGTGCAGGGCCTGGAGAGAGGAGAGAGCGGAGGGCTGGCTTCACGTGGAGGATCCTAAAAGGACAGAGTACAGTAGAGTGTAGTCATCACATTTTGGGGGCTTTGCAACATCTGAACTCCTCCATTCACTTGGAAAGTGAACATCCCAACGTCGGGACTCGCTTTATGCAGCAATGAAAGCTCAAGGCCAAACCCAGGCCCTGCGGCCCGGTCTTGCCTCCCAACGCTGAGTGTGGGGTTAAGGCCACAGAACAGCAGAGACTGTTGAGAACACGGCCACTGGCAAAGATGGTACTACCAGCGGCAGCGGCGCCCTGCCACGTTCCTCCTGTGGTGGGTCCCTCTGAGCAATCCCGTCATTTTCTAATCCCTCTTCTGCTTAGGCTACTCAGAGTCGGTTTCTGTGGTTTGTGACCAAACGCCCTGGCCGATAAACACTGGGTGGAAAGAGCCCAGAGCTGAGCATCAGAGATCTGCGTCATGTCCTAAGTCGCTCTGACTCGCCAAGTCCTGGGCAGCCAGAAGGAGCTGGCCCCGTGAGCAGCTCAGGTCACAAGGGAGGGCCACTGGGCAGGA